ATTGGTCCTGCGCTTTGAATTATTTAAGTTACAAGATGCAAGAGAAAACCTAATTGTGCAATGTCTCTTATCTGCAAGATTGATTCTAAAAGGTAGAGATCTTAAAATAAAATTGAAATTCTCTTGGGTAAAGTAAATACAGAGGTAAGAAGAGCTGCCCCTTTGCTTTTGCCTCCATAGTTAGATTTATACTTTCTCTCTTCCACTTGTTTAAATATGCTGCTTGGCATACTGCATGGACAACAGACATCTAGTGACTCTCGCTGACTGAAGGAACTGGGCACCACAGGGCCTGTGACCTGAAATGTCACCGATGTGTGGGAAACTATTCTGCTCTGAATTACATGCATCATACATATAAGCAATCAACTATGCTATTATTTTTTAGAATGGTACTAGACATATTCATGTCATGAATTATATAAGGTCTTCCCCCTACTCATTATAATTTCAATTATTACAATATATAAGCATTTGAATTAAAAATCAGTTCTGTACTTTGCCTATATGAAAATGGTTAAGTTTAAATTCACTTATTAAATGCCTTTAAAGAATGTGAATAAATTTAAATTTATATGTCTTTTGGATGGAAAAAAATAGTTAAAACCACCAATATTTAAGAGAAAATTTAAAGAAATATTTTGCCTTATTAGTATGTTTTAAAGATGTGAACTTCCATGTGTATTTGTAAATGGAGACCAAAAATATTCTTAATTTAGTTAAAATTTATAAAATTCAAGTACTCAGAACTCTTAATAATCATGGATAACCGAACAATTAAAATCTTAAGAACAGTTTTGTGACTCAGAACTAACCAGAATAATCTTTACTGACATATACATAAATAAAGAGGTAGCAATAATTTAAATATCCAACTGTCAGATTAAGAAAACATAGCTATGGCTTTAACAGATATCTTTTCTTGAATCATTAAATTAATCAACTGGATTTTTTAAATCACTATATATAAACTAAATTTATTGCTAACTACAGCAATAAGTAATCAGTCACCAATATGATTTGTAAAATTCAGTTTTTGGAGATGAAAGCTCTAAAGATAATAGTAAAGTTATTAACTGAAATTATTATATAAGATTAATAGTCAAACTACTTTGGCTGTTCACTTTCACAAGGTCTCAAGTTAAGTCAACTTTAAACAAACTAAAAATCACTGTATGACTATGAAGACTGAGGTTCAGCTAGTAATCATGAAGTCAAAACTACACAAAGAACAGAACTAAATACAGTTTATAAAAGTGAAACAAACACCAAATACTTTTAAGTGTTTTTGGAATCTGAGAAAGAGTAAATAAATTGCTGACATCATGGTGCCATGTCCCATTTATTTATGAAAGAAAGCTTATCTCAAGAAAAACTAAAAACAAAAAATTGAGTTATATAAAGGCCATATTACTTAAGGTCACATAGCCAGCAGAATCTTAATTTTGTATATAAAAATTATCCAAGGTTACAAACTATTATTAAGATCAAGCTCATGATTATTTTTAGACTCTAATCCTAATTCACTTCAGAGGCTTATGTTAGTTCAATGTCATGGCTGAAAAGGTATGAAGATAATAGAGAAAGCATCTAGGCACCTTAAATAAATATAGCTATGGAGAGTGTAGAAATTCTAAGTCATCATTCTCTAACTGGAAGCAGTGGAAACCTAAGATCCCCACTGGCCTAGCACATGGCACTGCCATTCACACAGACTTTGCCTCTTTGTTAATTCTCACTGAAGTGTTAAGAGGATCCACCATCATACAGTAACAGCCAGCAGTCACTGCATTTGAAGAACTGTGACCTACCAATGCCCTTAAGGGAGTGTAGGACTTCGGATGTCCCTTTTCCAAAGATATCCCTTAAAGAGCTAGATGGACGAGAAAGAAGCCTTGCCTTCCAACCGATGGGAATTCTTACTGCCGTTGCCAGCGTTCAGTACGCACTAGGACAGCCCTATTGCTTGCTGAGAGAAGCAGAGTCTGAGAGAAGGCTGGCAAACAAAAGAATGTCTTCCTCCACATAAGGGCCAACTAAATCTTGTTTCTCATAACACTTAGGGGTTTCAGTGAAGACGGATGTGAACTACTGTTGTGGAGACTGAAACTTGGTGCCCGATTCGAATATGTTGAAGTCATCATTAAAGTGTAGGAAACTTGCAGTGGCTGTGTCATGATTTTTCCTATTCTCACAAAAACATCATAGGCAATTTAATAACCTTGAATATATACCAAATAATGTCAGAATAATTTCAGGGCTAACAGTTAATGTACTTATATGCTAGTTGCTGAGGAAAATATAAATTTTAGCAAAATTAATTTAAATTATCCCTGAATATTAGTTTTTGCGTGGTGATGCCACATATAATTGCTGATGTGTTAGATACACTTGATAGTTGCACTTTAATTGAAATGCAATTGTTCAAATTTAGGGAGTGCACATAGCTACAATATGAGAATTCACAGAAGACAGAAAAATGAGTGCTAAAATGCTCATTTTAATTCAACTCAATTCAACCAATATTAAAAGGTGAATGAGAAGAATAATGGAAACTAGAACATTGTATGATATGCTTTCCTATCAAAAACAAATTTTGCGAAAAATCACTGCAAAACCATATAGCACGCACTTGGAAGAGAAAGAGTAATTGGGACATTTAGAAAGATGGTCTATTAATAAACTACCAATCTTCATTCACTCAGCAAATACACACAGCATCTGTGTCCCAGGACTATGCTAAAAACACCGTGAACGCAGACCATAATGACAGCCCCTGCACTGAGGCTGTCCAGCAAAAAAGCAGAAGATGACAAACGTCTCCTGAATGCAGAGTACAGCTGCAGAACAGAAAACTGCTCCAGGAGCACAATAGGTGGAGGTGTGCCCACCTGGCCTGGAGGCACACAAGAGGTGGTCAGGGAAAACTTCCAACGGTGCAGCGCCTGGGAGGGCAGTGAAGGGCAGAGAGCAGGTGGAGTCACAGGGGGTCAGTGCCCAGCCTGCCTGCTGCTGGACAAGGCAACGGGGCGAAAGAGGTACAAGCACAATGAGCGGTCGGCAACCCCCCCACCCGTGGATTCAATCAACCCAGGATGGGAAAGATTTGAGAAAAAAAATGGTTGCATCTATATTGAACATTTATTAATACAAGCTTTTTTTCCATGCTATCATCCCCTAAATGATACAGTATAACAACTATTTACATAGCATTTACATTAGGTATTATAAGTAATCTAGAGATGATTTAAAGTATACAGGAGGATGTACTTAGGGTTACATGCAAATACTACATCAGTTTATATGAAGAACTTGAGCATCAGTGGATTTTGGTGTCTGTGGGGGTGCTGGAACCAACCCACTGCCTGAGAAGTCTGGGGTTAGCCTGAGGGAGAATGAGTCACCCTGGAGAGTTTTAAGCAGGGGACTAACAGAATCCAATTTATATTTTAGAAGGATGAACTTTTCCAAAAGGCTGAGGCAGAGTTCAGCTGGAGAGAGGCTGCCAGGCAGGACGCCAGGGCAGAGGACTACACAGCACAGCTTTCCAGATTTTACTATGTGATGGGAGGACTGTGTAAGAAGATATGATAGGAACTGATTTAGACTTTAAAAAGATATACTTGGGGCATGAACTGTAATCCAGTTTGGACACAGTAAAGTATATATAGAGAAAAGTATATATATATATACATATATATATAGTATATATAGTATAAAAGTATATATATATAGAGTATACATAGTATAAAAGTATATATAGAGTATAGATATAAAAGTATATATAGAGTATATATATATGAAAGTATATATATATAAAAGTATATATAGAGATAAAAGTCTATATATATAAAGTATATATATATAAAAGTATATATAGAGAAAAGTCTAAGGGGAAAAAGATCAATTATGGCCAGCTGGAGGAATAAGAACTCACATGACTACAATGACTGTGATTTCAGAAAATTAAGTAACTGTGATTAATTTAATGATTCTGGTTTTTAGACTTTTTGCATCACTATATGTGATAACACTATACAATAAAAATCATAGATGTTTAAACAGTTAATTTTATCAACATCTAATAAAAGTACTATGTAATAAAAACAAATGGTGATTAAAGTGATTAGTTAAAAGAATGAAGATTAAGTTAAAAGATTGTTAATTTTTTAATAATAAAAGATTGTTAATCTTTTAATAATTCACTGGTATATATTGACATATATACATCCAAAAAGAATCTACGTCTAATATGAGCATGACCAGTTCTATATAATACCACTTCTATCTAAAAATGTTCACAGGTAGCTTGGTTTTATGTGTTCCACACTATTTCATACAAAGAAATAACTATTCGATCAATCAAAAATTTTATTCGATTCAGAAAGCAATAGTTACTTTAAAAATATGTATTACAAAGTGATTTAAGTAACTTTCATTTGATATCACAAAGAGAATACTAGAACTATGGCAGTCATCTTTCTATGGCTTAATTTTCTTTGCTAAATTACTATAATAATCTTACTCCTACACATTTTCCTTCTATCTTTCACCTTTTCAGCATCAATAATTAGGTCTTACATGGAAGTAACCAGATTTCTTAAATAACTTTTTTGATGATGGTCACAAGGTCATTGCATAAAACCGTCACTCAAAGTTACTCTATTACATCTATGCAAAAAAAGGATCATAGGAAGTATGCATTACTAAAATGATCAATTATTATAAGGTATAATTATTCTCTGGAATTTAAGAATAACTGTAAGCCACTGAGTATTAATAATAAAAAGTATACTAAATTCCAAACTAACCAAGAAATAGGTTTAAGCTAATCAAAAGTTAAAATCAAACTAATCTTCCACCCTCAATGGGTAAGAGAAAAATGTGAATAAAGAGAAAAGCATTTTAAGCATTTATTAATTGATAAAAACATATGCACATCTATCACTCAAGATGCATCAGATTACTTTTAGAAAAGTCCAGTAACTTTATTAACTTACCTGTTGGAGGCAGGCAGTCTTTCCAATCAAAATAGCCTGCATAAATTCCAGGTTCTAAGGAGCCAACAATGGGATCTGCTTTCAACTCAATGTAATTTTCAAAGAGCCTTTGGTCTAGTTCTTTCAATGACGCCATGCTAACCTATGAACACGTGATAAAGAGTATGAGTTGACTATTTGAGGGTGAAAAGTAAAATAATGTTAATAATGAGTACTTTAGTATATTTTAAAAGCACTTATCAATTTTCCCACAAAAGCCCCTGTTTTATCTATTTTGAGTAATAAAGACCATTCTTAGTATAGAGATTTTACAGCATAAGAAATAATCCCCATGTATGCACTAGACGTTATCTTTAAGAATACTGAATTTTCATTGCTACAAGCAGAGCAAAAGGCATTACAAATACTAAAGACAAGAGACATCCAAGAGGGAAATACTGTTATAGTAAGAATCTAGGATGACAATGAAGATATAGCATATCAAAATCTGTTGATGGAGACAAAGCAGTGGGTAGAAAGAAATTTATAGGCATAAATATTTTAAAAGAAAGGTTTGAAAGTAGAAAAGCTTAAAATTAATAATGCTCTAATGTTCTACCCCAAGTAGCTAGAAAAAAAGAAAATTAAATCCAAAGAGAATAGAAGATAAGAATAAGAACAAAAATCAATTAAATTTTTAAAAAGATGAACATTACAGAAAACCACCAATGCCAAAAGTAGGTTCTTGGAAAAGAATAATAAAAACAAGTTCCTAGGCAAGACTGATTAACAAATAAAGAGAAATAACATAAATGCCAATAACAGAAATAAAAAAGAAAACACTAAACATGTTAAAAGGATAGTAGAGGGTCATTACAGTTTTGTGCCAATAAGTTGGACAACAAAGAGGAAATTAATAATCTCCTGAAAAACACAACTTTCAAAAAATGGTACAAGTGGTCCTATATTTATTAGACTAATTGAATCCATTATTTTAAAGAGTTTACATAATGAAAACTTCAGGCCTAGATGATTTCACTGGTGAATTCTATGAAGCATTTAAGGAGAAAATTATATCACACACACTCTTTCATGGAATAGAGGCTAAGAGCATTTCCTATTTTGTTTAATGAGGCCAGTATAACCCTAATACCAAAAGCTGACAAAGATATTACAAGAAAAGAAAATTACACACAAATAAGCCTTATGAATAAAGTCATAAAAACCCTGACAAATTGGCAAATTGAACCCATAAATAAATAAAATTATGTCACACAGAAATGGCATTATTTTAATAGATGAAGAAAAAGCACCTGATAAAATTCAACATACTTTTTATGATAAAAATTCTCAGTAAACAAGGAATACAGAAACAAATCAATCTTATATAGCAGCGGTCCCCAACCTTCTTGGCTAGCACCAGGGACAAGTTTCATGGAAGACAATTTTTCTACAGAAGGTGGGGGTGGGGTGGTTTGGGGATGATTCAAGTTCATTACATTTATTGTGAACTTTATTTCTATTATTATTACATTGTAATATATAATGAAATAATCATACAACTCACCATAATGCAGAATCAGTGGGAGCCCTGAGCTTGTTTTTCTACAACTAGTCCCATCTGGGGGTGATGGGAGACACTGACTGATCCCACAAGAGGCAGAGCTTAGGGGGTGATGTGAGTGATGGGGAACAGCTGTGAATACAGACAAGCTTCCCCTGCTCACCCGCTGCTCACCTCCTGCTCTGCGGCCTGGTTCCTAACAGGCTATGGACTGGTGTCTGTGGCCCAGGGGCTGGGGACTCTAGTTATAAAGAGTATCAGTAGGGCCGGGCGCGGTGGCTCACGCCTGTAATCCTAGCTCTCTGGGAGGCTGAGGCAGGCCGGATTGCTCAAGGTCAGGAGTTCAAAACCAGCCTGAGCAAGAGCGAGACCCCGTCTCTACTATAAATAGAAAGAAATTAATTGGCCAACTGATATATATATATATATATAAAAAATTAGCCGGGCATGGTGGCGCATGCCTGTAGTCCCAGCTACTCGGGAGGCTGAGGCAGAAGGATCGCTCGAGCCCAGGAGTTTGAGGTTGCTGTAAGCTAGGCTGACGCCACGGCACTCACTCTAGCCTGGACAACAAAGCGAGACTCTGTCTCAAAAAAAAAAAAAAAAAAAAAAGAGTATCAGTAAAAATGGTACAAATATAGAATACTATCTCCATAAGATCAAAAATAAGGCAAGGATGTCTCCTTTCACCACTTATTTTTAAGATTATATTACATGTCCTAGTCCATGGGATATGGCAAGAAAAAAATGCCAGAAAAGAAGAAGTAAAATTGTCTCTACTCACAGAAGACATGAGTATATATAGAAAATCCAAACAAGTTGAAAAGCAAATTAATGGAATGAATAAATTTATCGAGGCAGTATACAAAGTCAGTAACGAAAATCAATTGTATTTCTGTAATTTTGACATAGAAGAAATATAATAACATTCACATTAGCATAAAAATGCCTGAATGAATTTACCAAAAGATGTATAAAATCTCTACTGAAAACTAGAGAAAGAAAGATGACCTAAACAAATAAGCAGGAAGAATCAATATTGTTGATCTCCCCCAAATTAAATGGACTTCTAAAAGGCCTTTTTTGGTAAAATTTCACAGGTTAATTCTGCAATTTATATAGAAATCGAAAGGATCTAGAATACCCAAAATAATCTGAAAAGAAGAACAAAGTTGGAGGACTCACAATACATGACTTCAAGACTGACTATAAAGCTATAGTAAATAACACAATGTGATATTGGTGTAAGGATGGACAAATAAATCAATGGAAAAGAAAAAAGAGTCTGGAAACAAGCCACTTATAGATGATCTTTGATTTTTTGAAAAGGCACCAATGAAATTCGATGAAGAAAGAAAGACTTTTCAGGAAATTGTGCTGAAATGATTATTATATATGTATGGAAAAAATTTGAACACTTCACCCCTACCTCATTTAATACTGAGAAACTTAATAAAAAGTAGGTAATAGATCTAAACATAAAAGTTAATATTACAAAGCTTCTGGAAAAAATATTCAGGACATTGGAGCAGGTAAAGATTCTGAAAGGATATGAAAAGCATTAAATGTTTTCAAAAATTGTAAAATTGGATCTCATCCATGGATCTCATTAAAAATTTCCACTCAAAAAATATCATTGTAAGAACAAAACAGCAAGCCATAGACTGGGAGAAAAAAATATATATACACACAAATATGTGGCAGAGAATGTATATAAAGACTTCTAAAAATCATTAATAAAGAGATGACTGACCCAAATAAAAAAATGAGCCGAAGAGTTAAACAGGTACTTCAAAAAAGAAGCTTTCTGAAAGCAAACATCTTGAATGCATAAGAAAAGGTGCTTGATATCATTTATCAGGAAAAGCCAATTAAAGCAACAATGAGATTGGCTAAAGTGAAAAAGAATAATACTAAGTGTTGGCAAGGACATGGAGAAACTGGTATACTTACATGTTTACAAAGAACGTAAAATGAGATGCCCATTTTGGAAAACTGGTGCCATGACCAACAATTCCATTCAGCTGGTGCCATGACCAGCAATTCCATTTCAGGACATATATCCAAGGTAAGTGAGTACAAATGTCCACAAAAAGATTTTTACAAGAATGTTCACAGTAACTTTATTCATAAAAGCCTAAAACTGGATGCAATTTAGTGTCCATCACCATGAGAATGATAAAAAAAAAAAAAAAAAAAAAACCTTGGTTATCCAAACTCAGCAACAAAAGAAACTGAATCACTGATAGACATATAATGTGACGAATCTTAAAAAATTGTTAAATTGGAGCAAAAGAAGCCAGATACAAAAGACTACAAACTGTATGGTTGCCTTTCACATAAAGTTCCAGAACAGGCAAAACTGCTCTCTTCTGACAGAAGTCAGAACAATGATGCAGGGGGAGCCTACTGACTGGAACAGGGAACAGGGAATGTTTTATATCTTCATCTGAGTGGTGGACGCTAGAATGTGTATATCTGTAAACAGCCACCAATCCATACACTTTAGATTTATGCATTTTACTGTATCTAAATTATATCTCATTTTTTTTAAAAGGAGAAAAAGAAGGGTTGAAAATAAACGGATGAACAAATAGATTTTAGGCAAATGCAACAAAAAGAGCATAGGGTGGCAGTACTAACGTGTGCCAAGGCAAGACTAACGTCAGAAGTACTCACCTCCTAAGTTTTGTTGTGAGAATTTAAACAGACAATTCACAAAACTTGTGTAGTATAATGAAAGTGCATTAATAAATGCTACCAGCTGTTACTATTATCCCAACTGCCCTATATCACTAATACCTTGTTCAGACTGGCTGCTGAACATACCAAATAATTCCAATCTTATACAAACTCTTTCAAGGAATAAGGGAGATACCTTTTTTTTAAATTTCAAAATATTAAGGGAGTACAAATGTTTTTGTTACAAGGATACATTGTATAATGCTGAAGTCAGGGCTTTCAGTGTTCCTGTCACCAGAATAGTTTATATTGTACCCAGTAGGTAAGTTTTTATCCCTCACCCTCCCCACTCTGGTTTCCAATGTCCTTTACATCTCTTTGTGCCCACATGTACCCATCTTTTAGCTCCCACTTATTAGTGAGAACATGTGGTGTTTGTTTTTCCATCCTGAGATACTTCACTTAAGGTAATGGTCTCCAGTTGCATCCAAGTTACTGCAAATCACATTACTTCATTCCTTTCTATGGCTGAATAGTACTCCAAGGTATATATACACACCACATTTTCTTTATTCATTCATGAATTGATGAGCACTTAGATTAATTCCATATCTTTGCAATTGTGAACTGTACTGTGATAAACATTCGAGTGCGGGTGTTTTTTTGATAAAATGATTTCTTTTCCTTTGGGTAGATACCCCGTGGTGGGATTGCTAGATTGAATGGTAGGTCTATTTTAATTTCTTCGAGGAATCTCCATACTGTTTTCCAGAAAGGTTGTACTAATTTGCAGTCCCACCAACAGTGCATAAGTGTTCTTTTTTCTCTGCATCCACACCAGCATCTATTGTTTTTTGACTTTTTAATAATGGCCATCCTGATTGGGGTAAGGTGGTATCTCATTGTGGTTTTAATTT